CTAATATCATAACATGTGTGCTCTGGAGAATCACAGAACGGACGATCGTCCTTATTATTATTACGCCGTTTAAACCAATTATTTAAATGTGTTTGTTAAATTTGGCATCATGTAAGTTGCGCTGACAGGTCCACACAATGCTTCCCCGCAGCGAGGCTCCCCCGCCCTCCTGCTGATACCCCCCCCCGTTGATAATTCTCGATCGTTGGCACGCTGATAACAATTTTTTTTTAAATTGCACTTCATATCAAAAAGGTTGCCGACCCCTGATCTAATGTTTCTTTGGATGAAACACAGAAAACGCTTTTAACAGTTTTCCCTGGAATTCCTTTGCCTTGTAAATACTGTATAAACATGTTTAGCTCACGAGATGGTGGTGATATATGTCTTATGTATCTTTCTCTCCCCAGGTGGCCCAATATATTAAATTCGAGATTCCTGTTTTAGACAGCTTTGTAGTGAAACTTAAAGAGGAAGAGGAACGTGAGATAAACAAGCTGACCAGAAAGTAAGCAAGTCTCTACTTTACAGTTTTCACATTACAGAGTTGCAAAACATGTTTGGATCCAGACAAAGCCTTCTTTGATCACTTGTCTATTTCATTAAGTGAAGCAAATATATGTGACTCGAAGCCGGCAGTTCAAAATCAAAACAAGACCTTCACACACAAAGTTATATCTTACCACACACACACTCATTGTAACTGTCATTGTTAAAGACAAGCTTAATGATTTTTTTATATTTTTGTTTTTCTCATAACATTCTATTAAAAAAGACCAAAAGAACAATGAATTGATCACACAGACAAGTATTGCCTGTTTAAATGAGGGATACATTAATATGATTTTGGATGGTTTTATCACTAATTTCACATGTATTTGAGTGCCTGTTTGTAAGTGTCAGAGATCATCTTTTATCATGTTTTCTCCCCTACAGGTACAGCTCTCTGAAGTCTATGATCCAACTTCAGCTCGAAGGCAGAGCCAGTGAAATAATATGAGTTTCTGCAGGCACTGATGTGTGTGTGTGTGTGTGTGTGTGTGTGTGCGTGCGTGCGTGTTGAACACTAATGATTGTTGAATTCCTTTGGGAAAATGTGCCAATACTGTAGTGAATGTAGAGGTAAGAGGGTAAAAGTAAAGGCTGCAATAGAACCATATCATACACCAACGTGCTTCTACTTTTAGAAATACATATTTCAACAGTTTGTAGGATCTGTTAATGTTTTTGCTGCAAAGTGTATCACTGCTTTATATTTTATGACTTAAATTATTTTGTATGAAAATTCTAACTGCAAGTTTGGATATTTATACCACCTGTTTTTGGTAAGGTTTTCCTCTGACTTTTCTATGTAATAAATCAGTTTTTAGTTTTGTCTCTATAAATGTTGTTGTATCTCCTTGAACCAAACAATACCCTGCTCAATTTTCCCACAACCAAAAAGCATCTTTATTGTTTCCTGTACTTCCACGGTGACTAGAGAACAGATTAGCAGCATTGTTCTTCTGAGCGACCCTCGTTGCCAGCTAGTTCCCATGAGCTGTGTGTGAGTTTGTCTGTGTGTGCATATGTGAACCTATCAACATTACACAATAAGGGTATCCTGAGAGAGGAGGGCTGTTCCGTTTTCCCACAGTTTCCCAAACAGCAAGTTCATTGTGATTCAATCAACCTTGACCATTTTTCCATTAATTGCAAATAGCACCGAGTAATACAACATAAAAAGCTAAGTTTTGGCATTTTTTATTTCAGAATCAGAAACAGGTTTATTACCAGGTAGGTTCACACGTACGAGGAATTTTACTTGGTGGTGCTTACTTACTACAATGTGCATCAATGGATAATAGGCCTTTTTTAATATGGGCCTTTCACTTTTGAAGATGCTCTAACAATGTTTCTTAGGTTGTTTTTTATTGCAATGTGGTGTCACACACACACACACACACACACACACACACACACACACACACACACACACACACACACACACACACACACACACACACACACACCAAATATGAGTTGAATCACATTGTTTACAGTTCTATTTGCCAAGGTGTGATCAGCCTCAGCAGGTGTTGTTTGCTGAAGAGGCTCTAATGGATATTATAAAACAACTTTGTTGATTTCAATCTGTTTGCAGCCAATTGCAGATTAAGTGATGGATCCAAACCATTTACCTCAAGGCACACCTTTTTCTGTTATTGAGGAACCCTGAAAAAGTAACATTTTATTGGATATTGATTTTACATTTTTGGGGTATATCATATATTCAATGCATAGCAATAACAGAAAAATAGGGATTGAAATAACTACAGGAAGTCTGTGCATTTCCTTATTTATGTTAGTAATAGTATTCACCTAACCCTAAGATTTTCAAGAAAATTTTATATTAAAAAACTTTTGTTTGTGCATCGGCCACCTTGTTCTATCATTCCTAAACCAACACATGGAGAAGGGTTTTAAAGTAGCACAATTAACCTTGTTGGGCTTTTCTAATTCCTGTAGTGTGTAATATAGGTTTTCTTGCATGTAAATGTTCTGCAAAAGCTAAAATCCCAAAGTTCGCTCCAGAGGGACTCATTTGTTTACTTCCTTAACAGAGCAAGACTGAATTCTGAAAGGAGCATAAATAACTAATTACAATATAAACACCTTTCATGTTATTCCATATTAAAACAGATTTTACAGATCTAAACATTTCCTCACCTAATAAAAAAAATAAGTTATTTACTCAGAACAGAGCTAACTGCATAATAATGTCATAATGTAACAAATACAATAAATAATGTATACAAAAGTTATTCCTCCTTAAACATAACACTTTAATATCTATATATAACAATCCTATATTTCGTGATCCCACCAGGGGCGCCGTAAGGGGGTGAAAAGTTAGGACGATTCTAAGGGCCCGTGACTGACAGGGGCCGCATTTTTTTTTAGAACATTAAGAAAATAATGTTTAAGTAACCAATGTGATTATCTTTTCATGGGGCCCAAAATCCCTGGCGGCACCCCTGGATCCCACACAAACATTTTCTATCTGCAGGGCCAAGGAGTTCAAAACTTTTAATCCCTATCTGATCAGATCAGATTTGGATTTTGGGGAGTTCAAAACCAAAAAACAGGATTAGGATCACTTTCATATCCGATCAGATCAGGAAATCCAATCCAAGCTTTAATCTGGATCAAATCTTCAAAATGGGTAGTTCAAACCGACAACACAGGATTGGGATCAGTTTGAATCCCAAAAAACTGGATTATCCTGATCGCACCAAAGGGGTGGATTTCCAGTGGATTACCAGAGCAAAATGTACTGTACAATTTATTTTAAAATATATCTTGTCTTCCTTGTATTATTTTTCATGTCCACTAGATGGCAATCGGTAGGATTAAAGCACTGATATTCAGGATCTAGTCATCTTGAAAAATCG